ATCGTCAGCAGACTTGGCTACGCCTTTTCAAACTATAAAGTTCAGAGTTTACTTTAAGCCTTGATTGGTTACCCAAGGTTAGGTTCTAGGGACACTGCGCATTCACAGAGACTCAGAGGCATGGCTACATGCAGCGACTTCCGTCTGCAAGTTACATTTATTTGCACAATACAAATATACCCTTTGTAACCCATTTTCAATGGCTGTAGGGTATATCAGAGAGAGAGACAGGGAAAAAAATGAACAGAAGCTGGCAAGCTTGGCCATAAAAGCGACGCCCGAAAGTCTGCAGCAGTTTTTGTTTTGCGCGCCTTGTCGCAAGCTTTAACTTTTTGGCTTGTCATATGTGTGTGTGTGTGTGTGTGTGCGTGTGTAAGTGGTAACTGTAACTGTGACCCAGCGACTCTGCTTTGTTTTCGCTCTTACGCCCTGCATGTGTCTGTGTGAGCGAACAAAGTTCAATGTCTGTTTGGCAATTTGAGCCGCTCTGCTTAGAGTGTTGCCAGCAGAACAATAGAAATGCCGGAAACAATACAAAAAAGAAAGGGGCACAGGCGCACAACCCACACACAGCACCACGCCCACACACTATAAGCCACAGTTTTTCGGACATTTTTCAGTCAAAAGCCAGAAATGAAATACGACAAATGTTGTTAGTTGAACAACGCCCCAGCCATGGACTAGATCGACTTTTGACAACTTGTTCTTTTGTGCATGTCAATTTTCTTGGACAGATGCCTTAGCCTTTGAACTCGCCGTTGAGCACTGCTCGAGCAGCTCAAAAGGTCGTCGAGTGTGCAGTTGCCTTGACTATGTTATGCATATTGAGTTGAAAATTTCCAGTGGGGCAGCTGCCGGCTGCGAGGTTGCCGATTGCCAAAGCCAATTGCTGATTGCCGAATTGCAGCAGCAGCTGAAATTCAATTAGCGCACAATTAGCCACAGTGTAACAAGCCACAACAACAACAACAACAACTACAACAACAACAAGTTCTACATAGGTGTGGCTATGTGGTTCAGTGGTGCGGCTGCTGCGGCTAGTACTTCCACGCACACATACATCTACTCATTGATGCCACTACATTTCAACCAAATTAGGCTGTCCAACTCAAGTTGTGTGCATACACTGAGCGAATTAGTTGAGTGAGTCAAAGAAACTGATATATATAATATATAAATATACTTCCGTAGATATTTGTAATATCTGCTTGGTTGCTCTCATTTCTTTTTCTGTTTTCCGCCTACACGAGTTGCTGTGATTTTCTCTGAGTGTAGCGCAAAATTAATCATCGGCACAACTAGCATACATTGGCATTTTAACACGATGTCGCTGTCAGACGCATAAAGCATCAATAATCAAGCATACATGATTTTTAAGGGCAGTTCGAAGAGTTGCTGAAGGAAGAAAAGGGAAAACTTAAGAGTATTATATAAAAACTCAAATATAAAATATAAAATACAAAATGTAAAAATTAAAAATATATAATATAATATATATAAAGTATAAAATATAAAAGGTAAAAAATAAAATACCTAAATTAAATTATGTAAAATATTTTATATTAAATTGTAATTATAAAAAATAAAATATATAAAATAAAAAATATAAAATATTTGTTATTAAATTATAATTATAGAAAATAAAATATAAATGATAAATATAAAAAAAATATATGAAAAAAGAAAAACCTATAAAAATAAAATAAAAAATATTAAAAATAAAATATAATAAAAACATATAAAATAGAGTTATAAAAATAAAAAATAAATGGCAAATATTTATTATAAATTTCACTCGTTCAAATCATATTTAAGCTGTCCAAACAGAATCTGAAAGCAATGCATTTGCACATGATATATGCACTAACTTCATTAATCCACTCAAAATTCTTCACTTCATTTTGCAAGCAAAACGAGTCTTGGCCTAGATAAATAAATGAAATTTAATTCCAATTTGCAGTTTGTTTAAAACATATTCAGATTTAATTGCTCACTGCTTAGTTAGCTAATAAATTAAAGCAAATTTATGCTAAGCAAATTGTGAGAAGCTGTCAAAAGAATATGCTGGCCGGAATTCAACCACACATACACACACACACACACACACACACACATACATACATGTATTATATATATTTTGCTGCTCTCTTTGAGATTTTGATTACATTTATTTGGGCAACTCTCGCTTTTGGTTGGCGCACATTATGCATACGCCATGTGGCACGGGCTTGTAGTCCAGGCATAATTTATGGCTTGGCAAACGTCTGCGCCGTAAATTAATTGTCGCGCCTAAGTGCGTCGCTAGAACTTGCCGTTACAACGGGGCGAAACGCACAGAAGTATCGACAAAATGGAGTCAATTCAAATAGAAAATTGCCAGAGGCACAGATTGTGCGAAGAGGGGCGATGAAAAATTGATAAATATACGAGCAAAGCAATTGGCAACAATTTGTCTATAATTGACTGCATACATGGCGTATGCGTAATATGCACATTACGCATACGCAGTGGATGCGCAACACAAAAATTAAATGCAATTATATTTAAGTGCTTTCGGCGTGCAGTCGGGCTAACCAATAAAACTGCATAATAAATACACTCGACGCAGCGCTCACAATTAAAGCAGCTCAGCTTTAAAGAAGTCCAAAAAATAAACCCAGAAGAGATTTCTCGTGTGGACGTGTGTGTGTGTGAGCTTCTTTGTGGCCAAACAGCAAATGTAAACTGCAAACGATTCATGTCTGTATTTAACTGTAGCACTTTTGTATGTCAAATCATTTAGGGCATGAGTGTGAGCGTGCGTGTGTGTGCGTGTGTGTGTGGGGTTAGTTGTGCAAATGCTGTGCTCAGCAGAAAATGCCTGGCTGAAATGTTCTGGTAAAGCTGCAAACGCCAGCACTTTGACTCAATGTATTACGCTGCCAAAGCCGAGTGTGTCGTTGCATGTGTATGAGTGTGTGTGTGTGTGCGTGTGTGTGTTTGGCATTGTCAACACACTCAGCTCGGCGCGCGGCGACAACAATTTATTGTTAAAAAAACACCTTTTGGGTATTTAGTATATTGAAAAATGCGGAATTGGTTTGTCAAACGTAATCTGCTTAAATATTGAATCAATGTTGAGGGTATTCCCTTCAAGTTAAAGCATTTGCCGTTTTGATTTCCGTACTTTATGATTTCATAGAGTTTCATCTTGCTTGGGCTCTTAACGATCTTACAAATCTTGTCAAGAATTTACGAGGCATATCCGTCAGTCAGTTGTCGCCATGGGCGCCATTCAGCAAACGTTTATCTGATTTTCGTTTCCGCTCGCAATTTCTGCTTTTTTCTTCTGTGTTTTTCTGGCTATATTTCGAGCATCGTCATCGCTGACATGTGATGTGCATGCAAATGTGGCAGCTCGCCGCGCGTATGTGGCACATATATTATGCGTCTGTCAGCCAAAAAGAGACTCCAGCCTGAGATTTAAATGAGAAGTGCGCCCTGTCGCTGTTGTTGCTGCTGCTTCATCTTTTTTCTTTTTAATGCTCATTGAAATGCGACAACGTCGCGACAAAAAAAATCAGCCTGCGGAAGGCGGCTCTACAGTGTCAACAGTCAGAACGCTTCGATTGCCTAACAAACTCAGAGCGTGAGTCATGCCTTTAATCTGAGTCAAGAGTATTTAAGCATTCATACGAGCCAGCTACAATTGGTTAGCAGCGAAAATAAAAAAACATAAAAAAGCAACACGAAACAGCTATAATAAATTCCGAGCGCGACACTAATAACATTAGCTACCCCCGAAAAACTATCTAGTCAATTCAAGACAGAGCGCTGGAGCCAGACTTTGCGCCTCGGGTTGGGCTATAAAAATGGCGACGCATCAAAAAAACTTTTACATGACAGAGAGGGAGGCCGAGCGGGAGGGAAGGAGGCAGAGGGAAGTATTCAAGCTGAGACAACTTGAGCTGCAGCTCAAACTAGTGCTGACTCTCGCTCTCTCTCACACGCCCCTCTCCTACCTACACCTTACCTTTCTCGCCTTAAGCCTAATGCACATTTGGTGTAAATTAAAAGCAGCTCAGCTATAATTTGAATTCGAAAAAACACATACAACTCTCGCTCAGTCTAAGTGCTTACTTATTCAGGGCACAGCTCGATTGAACCCTGCGCTCTACTTACCTTTTCCATATCAGTTTATATAGCCCAGCCTAATAGCCATGCAGCTCTAATTAACTTCAATTATAGTTGCACAAAGCTTTTGTCTAGCTCTAGGCCATTAAATTTAGTTGATTTGATTACGTGCTCAAACTAAATGTTCACAATAGAAAGTCCATTGTGAATGATAATGTGGATAAGTTAGATTTATAGTTGAGTTGGCTTCATTCAGCTCTGGCCAAATGCACTCGCGGTTGAGCTTAGTTAACTTTAGTCAAATATATTCTTGCTGCTTCAGCTTTTTTCTGTTGTCTGCGCCACGCCCCCTTTTTTCTGTTTTTTAGCTGTGACTAGCAAAGCGGAAACACTTTGCCAACATAATCGATAGTTCAACATATTTAAAAGCGCGTCTCTGTCTCTCTCGCTCTCTGCTCTTGGCTCCCTCTCTGTTTATCTGCAGTCTAGACAATTTGTGGCAAGTCAACAGGAGCCGCGTCGAGTGCAGCAGCAGCAGCAGCAGCAGTAGCAGCCACTCAATGCGTCAAAATGTGTTGTCAGTTGCAACTTAACCTTAAGTGCTGGGATCATGGCTATATATTCTACAAAGTCTTGGCCCGACCCTGACGCTTTGTGCCTGCGCGCAAAGCACAAAGTGGCTAGAAAGCGTGCTGGCTAAGCTGGCTAGATACCCTGTTAGATGTGTGCCAACTTGCGGTAAACTAGCTTGATTGGCACTGAAAGAGTTAGGGCTATAACTGATGCGCTTTAGCATACCCTGTACATGTTGTGATGTATGCAAGTCTCTTATAATTGAAGTGCAACTGGACTGAAGGGAGTTATTCCTCAGAGGAGCTGAGAAAAAGATGAACATGAGTGTGATGAGTCTGCAGATACCCTGTACAGTTGGCATGTCTATAGATATCTTGGACTAACTGTGATGAGAGCATTTGGAAATAGACAGACGCAGCACTGATAGACTAGCAAATACCCTGTATACTTAGCTTTGTAACAATCTCCTCCCCAATGCCGTGACACCTTGTTCAGGTGTTAACTGGGATGAGAACATACGCCTAGTGGCATATACATAATGTAGTCTTGTTTGATTGAATCTGATTGATTGAATGCATCTTGAACCACCTTTGAGCCACGTTCGCTTGATTGATATTTAAGCCTGTTTGGTTACGCGCTGATTGATGGCAGCTTATGAATCGCTAAGCCATCTGCCCCGGCTGAATATTTACTTTGCCATGCGCGTACTATTTGCCGTTAGTTTACGCATGTCGCATGCCGCAGGCGTCGCACGAATCGCACGCAGTTTGCTTGTTTGGCCTGCGCAAATGTTTGCCTACGATTTGCATAAAGCAAAACCAATCCATTTAACGCTCAATTAATGTGCCCATAAAGGGTATATCTGTTGTGTACAAACATAGAGGGTAGAGCTGCCGTCTGGCTTTCAATTTGCTTTGGTCTTCCACGCGATCTATTAAAATATGCATTCTGAGCAAACGACGAACATAAATTTTGGCAATATTTTGTTATGTAAACTCGGTAAAATTTTCCACCACATTTACTAATTTGTAAGCGGCCGAAAAGCCGTTTGCAGAGCCCGCATATTCAAGCTCTGCGGCCGTCATGCAGCATGCGAGTTTCTCGCTTGTTTTTGATTAAACGCGCTTAAAGCCAAAATCTGACAACAGCAGCTGTTGTGCTTGTTCTCGGCCTGTATCTGCCGCTCTGATCGATAGCTAAGTGGCTCAAACAACAACAGCGACAAGTGTGGCGTGTGTGTGAGTGTGTGTGTGTGGCTCGTTTTTCCAGCCAGCCGCATCGTTAATTTGCTCAACATGAGCACGCAGCAAAATTTTCGATGCATAAACTTAAAATTAGCAAACACCCACACACACAAACACACACACACAAACACACACACACAGGCACACAGACAGAGACACATTTAGCTTCGCTCTGGTCATAAATTTCATGCCCGCTGATAAACAATAAATTAAGTTCAGCTTCAGCGTCAGCTTCAGCTACAGCCCAAAAAGCAGGACACGTATCGTCGCTGTTGCCATGTATTTCCCACGCATTTCCATGCCGCACGCACGCATACGTGCAAAATTCCAAAGCTAATTTTCGTTAGGTTTGCGCCTGGCCAGAGCTCTGTCTATGGGTGAGTAGTGTAGAGGCCATGGGAGCCAAACGTTGGCCAAGGGAGCCAGGTTACAGCTAGATGTGCGTCTGCTCTTAATACCCTGCACACATTAGCAGTTGGGGTATATAGCTTCGACTGTAATTAGCATACGAATCTGTCCATCAATAGGTATAGCCCTGATAAGAGAATCTGCAGCTGGTTGGAGTCAACTATTAAGCAATTTCCTTACTCGTTGCAGGTCAATTTCAATTCAATCAAGAGAGCATTATAACAGTTTCAACTTTTACAGGGTATCTCATAGTTAGGCTTATCTTTGGCATTAATTAGTAGACAACGCATGTTAATTGTATTTCTGCTAGACTTGGACACACAGAGATTCTAACAATGGCACTTTAATTATAAGTTGCCTCAACTGCAGCCATCAATCAATCAATCAATCATACAGCAAGACTCTTGTCAGCCTACTTCTTTATATTATTATACTGTGCTAGGCACTGCAAATTAAATTTCGATCTTAAATACAGAAATATAATCAATCAAGAGCCTTTTAATAGGGTAGATGACATTCATCAATCAATCAAACAATCAGTCTGTCAATTCCAGTAGAACACTAGCTTCAGCTCTTCAACGTTAACCTTATTATAATTGCTGATTAGATCTACGGTTTCTATGGCAAAGACACAGCTCATCAATCAAAAACACACTTCATCAATCAATCAATCAGCCACATGGACTTTTTCTAACTCATTTCATATTTAATTTAAGGTCTCATTTTTAATAACCAAGAGCAATAAGTTTATAAAGAGACTCAACTACAACAATCAATCAATCAATCAATCAATCAGCCAATCAATCATTTTGTCAATCTCGCTACAGCTTCTTATATTTAACTTGAACTGCAAGTGATGCTTCCAGAGAAAGCTTAGATCGTTTCCTTGTTCAACACAAGAATAATCTGGACTACCCTATAGCCTCACCTGCTGCCAGGGTATCTACTACTCTATGCTCTGTGTTAATTTGCGTGTTCTTTGCATGTGTTTTTGACACGTTTCCATTTACAGCAACTATTTCATAATCACGTCCCTGGCCCTTCTTCTCTCTTTTCTTTTGGCTCTCCCAACGGATGTAGCTGTACTCAAGTTCTCTTATCGCATATCTCCGCCGTGGATATACTTAGTTTAACCTCCGGATATCAAACAGCAAATTAAATATGCAAATTTCTGTCTCTCGCTCTCTCTCTGGCTGTCTGCTAGTTGCCAAGCTCTCAAGTCGTGCTGCATATCTATAGAAATTGCTTTTCTTTTCCACACTTTACACGCGTTTCTTCCTCTTTATCTCTTTTGGGTTTTTCGTGTTGTTTTCTGAATTATCTACACTTTCTCGTGTTTTTTTCTGAATACTTTACGTATTGGCTAAGCTGGTTGGTGGGGCACGTACTTGAAATGTTGCGGGCGCACATTAAATTTAACTTTGTGTTCGAATTTTCAACAGTAAATCGTAAAATTTGTCATGCCAGCTACCAGCTACCAGCTACCAGCATCTCCCCTCCCGATAGCCACGCCCCAGCCCTCGATTCATACGCATGTGGTAAAAAGTTTTGCGTATGTTTTGCAGCTGCCTTTTTGCGCGTGTTGCCAAAAAGTTTTGGTTCTGTCTCTCTCAAATTTTTGTTGCGTGCTTTTTGGCGGCGCGTGCGGAAAAGGAAATGTGCAACAGCAGTTGAAGAGCCAGCGGAGAGGCGAAAACAAAACAGAAAGACGAGCCGTATTCGTAGCATACTTTTATGCGCTATACATTTCGACTCTGGCAACACGTTAGGCACATCGCTCCACAGCCGCTCCGATACTCTCGCCATTCCAGTTCAAAGTTCGATAAACTGGTTGGCTTCCTGTCTGCCCGCTGCCTGCTGCTTCTCATTCAATTATTCCTATTCCAGTTGGCTGCTTGCGCTCTGCACGCTGATTTCGAAACGAAAACGCTTTGATGTGCTAAAACTTTTCTGAGACACTGTCTCTCAAACTGAAATCTCGCATTGATGAACTGATTTCAGCTTTACTTTCGTCCAGCCTATCTGGAGTCCAAGTTTGACTGCTAAAAAAAATATAGTTAAACTGAAGCCACAATAAAAAATGCTCTAAATTTGCTTTTGATATTGCTCAATAGGCATTTCGCATTCCTTTCCTTCTCTCTCTCCCTCGCTCTCTCTATCTTGCTCTTTTCCCTATGAATTCGACGGGCAGCCATATTAATTTTCAATTAAATTTCGTTTCATATTGCTTCCGTGCTGCGGTTTGTTTGTTAATGCCACATTAAATCCTAGCCTTGAGCTCAAAATGCCTTCGTATACACACGCACACACACACGCACACACAACAATCGAATGGGCGCCTGTGTAAACAGCTAAAGAGTGAGGGAGAAAGACAAACATGAGCTGTTATAAATAAATCCGCATTTACAACGAATCGTTAATAATCCATATTCAAATCTATATAAAGCAAAGGCATATACATATACTATATATATATATATATATATATATATATTCATATATCTACAATATGCTAAAGCTGTAGCAAATGTATATATAAAAAAGGGGACTATAATTGTTTGCTAAAGATTTTTGCGTTTTTCTGTTGTATTTTTATGGACATTTTATTACTTTTCAGTTTTTTGTGCGTTCTGCACAACTCTCTTACACACACACACACGTCATCTCACACACTCACACATATGCTTGATTGTGTCTGCTTGTTTTTGCTTACACACAATACGTCTGCACAATGAAAATGAAAATGAAAATAAATTTCCATTTGGCACAATTTTTTTTTATTTTATGCTACAACAATTTCACACTCTCTCTTTCTCTTTCCCCCTCTCTCTCTCTTTTTATAGGCTACAGTGCAGCTTTGGCTCCAACGCCACCAACAACAACAACAACCACAATTTCACCCACAAATCTTTTGCCCTATTTTGACTTTGATGTGCCACGTAACTTGACCGTCACAGTGGGCCAAACGGGCTTCCTGCATTGCCGTGTGGAGCGATTGGGCGATAAGGATGTAAGTATATATAACATATATATATATATATAAATATATATGTGCAAATCTGAACTAGGTTGAGTTAACAATATGTTGGAAATGGGAGCTTAAGTTTAAGCTGAACAAGTTGATCTATAAGTTACGTGATAATGATTCAGAGCAGCAGAGAAGAGAAGATAAGATAAGAGAAAAAAGAAGCGAAAAAATATATAATAGATAACAGATAATAAACTATAGATAATAGATGATATATGATAAATAATAGATAATAAATAGTTGATAATATTTAATAGCTAACAGATAAAAGATAATCTATAATAGATAATATGTACTAAATAATTGATAATAGATACTAGATAATAGATGATGCATGACAGATAATTGATAGCTAACAGGTAATAAATGAAAGATAATATATTAATAATAATATATATTAATAATAACTAATAGATAGAAGATACGCGACAATAGATAACAAATAATTGATAATAAATAAAAGATGATAGATAATAGAAAACATATAATAGATAACAGACTATAGATGAAACATAATAGATAGAAGATGAGAAATACAAGAGAATAGCTACTAGATAATGGATAACAAAAAAAAAGTTATATACATTTGACAATACATATTATATAATAGATATTAGATAGCAGATAAATAATGTAATAGATAATAGATAAGTTGAGCTACACAAGTACAAAATCGCTCTTCGAGCCGCAGGAAGCAGAGCTCGTGTTATATTAGCTGCTCTTTCGAAGTGCTTCAAATTGAAGTTTAAGCTGAGCTGCTCTTGACACGAAAAGTTGTTATTGTTTTTGCTATGCCATTAAAGTATTTCCGCCGTGCAAAGCAAATAGCTGAATGCCTGGTCAAGTGCCAGGCATAAAGTAATTCACGGAAATGGAAATGGAAATATGAACTACTTTGGCTACATAACAATTCCTTGGAGATTAGTGCTTATAAAAGCTTTGCCGCTTGATAACTTTTCTCCTTTGCTTTTTTTGGCGCTTTTGGCAGCTAAGACCTTCAAGAATATACTAAGCAAACTGCTTGACTTGACTTTGCCTTCAATTTTTCGACTTACAAAATAAATACACAAAGCAAAAAAAAAAGCGTAAAGAAAAGAAATGAAATTGAAAGCAATGGGGATTTGAAGGAACGTTCAATCATTGGGCTTGATGTGGCGCAGTGATTGCCCAACAGCAACATTGATTGAAGGTCGCCGTGCTGTTAACCCTTTGCAAAATGTGTGCTGGACACGGCTGCCCAGGGCCAGTCTATGCCTAATATGTCAACATCAGCAGAGGCCCAGGCCCACGCAGCGAGACAGCTTTAGGCGGTCACGAAAAACGCAAATATGCCCAATGGTGGGCGGGACGGGGCGGGGCGGGGCGCGTGCTGTTCGAACTGAAGTGGAAGGATTTATGCTAGCAACGCTGGCAACCGGAGCTGTATATTAAATGCCCAGGACTAGGCCAAATTACGGCTTGATTACTGAAGCTGCACTCGATGCGAAAAATGTTTCAGGCGACAGCCGGGCTAACGACTGCCTGCCAGGGCGTGAGTGAGGGAGACGGGTCGTGAGGTACTGTGCGTTAGCTAAGACGAAATGACTAATTTATGAGCCATCAATCACGTGACTGGCTATGCCATCACGCTGGCTGCCTGCCTGGCGCATGCAGGCCTCATGTCCTTAAGGACACGCCAACGCTATCAGCTTTAATTTGCACCAGCTCATGGCGGAACCGGAAGTTGTGCGCTGCGTGTAGGAAGCCAGCCAAGTGCAGACACACGGCTTAATCCAGAGACGCAGCGCCCTGCGGACAGTGAAACGAAGCACATAAAGCGAGTAATGCGACTCAGAGATACTCTAGAAACATTGGAAGAGAATGTTATTTTATGTGAGCTAAGCGGGCAGCTGCAAACCTAGTTTCACTCTATAAGACTTTCAACTATGTTAAGGGATCCCGCCAATATAAGCCTCTAAAATTTGTAAGCCTGTGGATCTTTTAGTTATCATGCTATTGTATATGACCTGCGTATACTTGAAAGCCAATCTCTTAACTTTTCTATATCTATGTCATAGTTCCCGTGTTATGATCTTCATGAATGTTCAATTATACTACTCAACATATTAAAAAAATCTAGAATGCTTTTTGAACAAGCCCACATCTCAAATTTAAGAATTTTACATTCTATAGTTCTCGAGTTATCTATGAAAGTATCAAATACATAGGATAAGTATTTTGAAGTATGCAACATATACCCTTCCCATATATCTAATAAAAGTGAGATATTCTATGCAAGTCTAAGCTTTAAATGGAGCTGCACAGCAAAATTTGAGTTCCTAGCTCAAATAGTTCTCGAGCTATCTTTAAAAAACCAAAACAGAAAATTGGAATTTGGCACGAAATATCAAAGCAATTTGATCAAAATTCTTTATTTTTAAAGATTTTAACTTTATATTATATAGGTAAACTTTTGGCCGTCACATGCGTATCCGAAAAACCAATATACCCTCAAGCCATGCTTGATGTATCTCTGCGCATAGACAAGACGAAAAATAAAAGCTTAGCTCGTTTAAGACAAGTTGGGTTCTGTTCAGTTCATTAAAAGCATTGAAAGTACATTAAATAAATGGCAGGCAAACATTCGAGAGCCAGCCCGACGCCTTGCCCTTGAAGCCTTAATTACAAACTGTCCACTGGGCATTACAAACTACTTAGTTGCTTGCCTTCTCCTCTATCAGCGGATGCTGTAGTTTCTGCTGCTGTGGCTGTGGCTGTGGCTGTTGTTGTGGTTGTTCCTTGTCATTTGGAGTGCCGGCGCTTGCGTCAGCATCAGCGCCATAGCTGCACTTGGGATTGAGATTTGAACTGGGGCTTGGATTTGAGTTTGAACCAACGCTGATCATGGCCAAGCCGATGGCCGCTTCGGTGCCCGTTGTTGGCTGCTCTAGCTTGGCCGTAGCAGCTATGCCTGCCCCTGGCGGAGGCTCTACAGTGACGACGGGCAAGGCTCTTGGCAGCGAGGAGGCACTCGATGAGGGCGTGCCAAATCGCGGCTGAGAGGAACGTTGCTGCACATCCAGTTGATCGTGATGCGTGAACATTGAAGCTGTCGTCGAAGCTGTGTCTATGGTCTGCTGTTGGGATTGTGCGCGATTCGGATTCGGAAAGGGTCGTCGATTCTCCAAAATGAGCTTAATATCACGCGCCGACTGCCACCAGCTGAGGAGGGCCAGAGTTCAATTAAGTGCAAAAGACTACTCAAAGCACAGCCTTTGCTTACCGATACCAAGGCGTCAGCTGGGACTTGATTAACATATAGATATTTGCAAAATAAACTGTAATCTGTGAGGCAGCGTGAGTTAGGGAGTGAACGAGATAGAGAACCCTTTTACACACCGTCATAAACAAGAAGAACAACATCCAGGACTTGGTCCACAGCTTGCTCAGGCCCCAGGATTGTGTGTGCATTGCATAATACTGTATGCCCACCAGCAAGGTGCCAATAATGCCGAATGCAACCAACGTCAGCAGCGAGAACATTTGGCAATCCTCCTGCAAGGCACGCCGGCTCATAGCACGCGAGTACCACAAGCGCAGCGATTGGAGGCACGTGTAACTGCAACGGAAATGGCAATTGGATGAGGTCGGCAAGGGCACCGAACAGGATGCAACAAGCGTGAAACTAGTCGGATGAGCTAGACTTCCGAGTTGACTTAAAGTTGCAAGTTCCTGCTAAGACTAAAGCTACAAACTCTGTGGAGTATCAATGTTGATGTTCAAGAGATATCTGGAAACTAAAATGCGGGCTTATGTTTAGCTTACCAAGACCTTTACTCAAAATTTTAATTCGAAGCCTGGCAAAGTTCTTGGGTTATGAGCTATGATTAAAATACTGTTTCATGCTTGGGATATCTAAAAAATGAAATTATGCTTAGTTGTGTCTAACTTTAATGATTTTTTATACCAAATTTGATAGCGCTAACTTTTTTAGTTCTCGACTTAGAATCAATCCCTTTTCGTATATCGACTCAGCTGCACCACACAATGTCGCAGTTCGATAATTAATATATGAAAAGTAAAAGGAAACTATTTAAGAAATTTCTGGACAAAGCGACCAGCAAAGAGTAACGACTTTTCGCTTGATCTTGACTAGGCAAAATCTTCCTACTACCCACACATACTAGCTCCAACAACCAATACGCCCTCTGTTGCTATACAATCTCAACTGGCTCTCGGTATCATACAAAGGCGTCTCAAATGTGGACCAATTAGCCAGCCCAAAGCATTCACTGATTAAAAAGAGCCAAAGCCAAAGACCCGAGCCCGGCCTGGCCCAAGCCCGTGAGCTGCAGCAAGCGCCGCAACCTCTAACCAAGTGGCTGGCTGCTGATGAAGTTGAGTGTCAAGTGGCTGCAGCCGGTGGAGTTTTTGCCAATGCTTGTGAGTGGCTGGCACTTGGCTGGGACAACCTGGATCAGGACTTTATTGCACTTACCGCAGCGTCTGTTCCGTGTTGTAATGAAACTGGCACAGTTCGCAGATTGTGCAGCGCGAAGTGCTAATCCAACGCTCCAGGCAATGCACGTGCACATATGTCAGCGAGCCCTTGCACAAACAGGGCGACACCAGCCTGCAAAGAGAGACAGAGATGGGAAACAGTTAACAATAGCAAAAGGCGTGGGATTAACTATGCGGACAGATGAGCAAACAGCATCCGGCGTAAACAGCATACATATGTCGCGACTCGCGCTACCCGCTGCGACTACGACTGCGACTGCATTTTAATAACTTGAATAAATAATAATATTTGCGCGCAAATACACAGATCAACTATGAATATATAAATAAATTTATATATATATATTTATATAGACACATATCTGTGTAAGTGTTATGGCCATTACGCTAATTTTATTAAAATGTCATGCAATTAATTTTACGCATTTTGCGGTTGCACGCGCAATTCACAATATACCCTGTAATGCCATGTAGTTGGCAAGGGGTATATAGCACTGTCAAGCATTGAATTTCTAGTTGGAATTGTGAAACCTTTTTTTATCTGTTATGTAGCAGAATTGTTATTAAAGAGGAAAATTATTTGTAAAAAAATTAAGTCTAGCCACGTTTTAAATTCTTAAAAATATAAAAATAAATTAAATAAAAATATAAAAATTAATGAAACTATCAACGGAGCTCGGGTTTAATTTTTTTAAGCCAGCTGTAAGACTTTTGTATGTATATTCATAAATCTCATACGAAATTCTAGTTGTATATCTTCTGATTATATAAGGTATGGATTATAAAATGTATAACAACAATATATGAGTAGTTTTAAAATATATTGTTTAGTTATATTGACTTCTATAGGCAAGTAAGCTTTAAAAGCTTCAAGTCTCTCTTTAAGCTTGACTTTGAAACTTAATTTAAGTTTCCTCTAAACACCTTTCACATATAATTTCTATGCCCATTATAGGTCATAGCCTAGTCTCATACAGCGAGCAGCTGCGCCACCTAGCATAGTTCATGGCCATTAGATGTGCTTATAGATGTTAAACAGACAACGATAGATTTATGATGGGACTCACTGTTCGGGATTATCCGCATTGTGGCAAATGCGACAGACGAGCGAACCAATCGATGGCATCGAATCGCTCGAGTTGGATGCCTCGCAGTCCAGATTCAGATTATTGCATTGCGTTCCACTGTCCGCACAGCGTCGCAGTATGGGTATGGCCAGGTCGCTGCCAGCCGATCTGACCGCGGCGCACGTGGAGGTGTTGGCCGCAGCCAGAGCCGCCTCAGTGTTGGCCAGCGATTGGCTAAAGCTCTCCATGTTCGACGAGAGTATCTGGAACTGCACATTCGGCTTGAGGCCCAACGTAATGGAGCAGCCAGCTTGTTCACTCGCTGTCTCCTTTTCGACTTGTTTCACCTGGCTCGTGGCTGGCTGTCTGGAGCTAATGCAAGTCTCGACAATAATCATTGAAGGTGGCGTCTCATCGGCGCTGCTATTCGACACAAGCTCCTCAATATCCAGCTGCAGTGCTGTCTCCGGCTTCAGCGAATTCTGCTCGACGACACCTGCAGACGCATCTGTAAAGCAAATCCAACGAGAATATATTTCTCTATATAGTTATTGTTGGGAGTTTCGCTAACCAAATCTTTCGCTCTCCATTGTTCCTACTTGTGCATTAAATCTTGAATACGAATAAATGATTTTCATCAAAGTTTAATGTGAACGCTGAGGTCCGCTTTAATTGTTACTTGTGGTATAAAATAACCAAAATTTTAACACATTCCGCTTGTAAAAAAAAAACTCTGATCGATTGTTGTATTATTATGTGCTGTAAACTCAATTACGTTTCGTATATAATGCAACGACTGCTTGATTCAATAGAAACGTCTAATTTATATAACTTTTCTGTTGCCCTCTGATGTAGGTGAAATTTGATACTTTTCAGTCATATTACAATTTAAGCTGCATATGTTCAATTTGAGTGTTGTAAAATGTTTCAAAAGCTGCTCTAGCTGTGTTGGTATTGGCAAATTCCTTTGAGAGTTGACTCCAAAACGTTTTCTCTTCATATTCCATATTCATAACAGATATTTTCACCCTTGGCTATATCAATTGAGTGCTTTACAGCAACCAGTGTTGTAAAACACCATTTAAATAGCTTAGCCCAGCACATAGTCAATTTCAGTGCTGCAAAATGGGTTTTCATATACCTTTTCCACAACTATTTCCTATTTCCAATACAAATTCTAACATTTTAACCTAAAATCAGTGTTGTAAAACGCCATCTAGAAAGCTTGTCTAGCACAAGTGCTGCACAGCTCGAAACCTTCACTCCAGCCACCAAACTACTTTACACTTTTTAGTTTCGCAGCGTTTTTGATCAGCAATTAGTTAGTTTGTGAGTTAGAACAAACAGCACTAAAGCGAGGGAGGCGGGCCGAGGAAAAAACCAAAGGAGAAAACAAACATTAATTGTAATTGACAGAGTGGAACCGCGCGCTGTCACCCACAGCTACTGCCCATAAACTCAAATTGAAAGTGTAACAGTTACGGCAAATAACTTTGTCGCCGCTTGGCTCGAAAAAACTACCTCAGCCCAGCCCCCAAGCTCGATACACAGTGCGCCCAACACCTTCGACTCCTGCTATCGTATCGAGCTCTGTGCTATTTCTGGCCCGGACTATGCACTCGAAAGTCTCGGGTAATTTATGCCCGCGCTGTTAGTTCGTTAGGCTCCCTGTCTCCCTGCCTCCCTCTCTCTCTCTCTCTCTCTCTCTGTCTGTGTGGGTGTAAGAGTAACTCCTGTCTGCGTGTGTCATTACCATACCAAAACTGCTGCTTCACAATTTTTTACTCCCTTTTTCCCGCCGTGTGCGTCTGTTTGTATATTCATATTTTTTTTGCTCTGTCTCCCTCTGCTTGGGCGCCGGAAGCTGCTTGAATCCGCTTGTTCAAACTTGACTTCACAGGATTCAGTTCGTGGGTTTCGTTGATTTATTACGGCGGACGCAAAGCCAACGCAAAACATTCTCATAAGCGCGTTCCGTTCAACAACATGAGAGGCACCCGCAATTTGGTCATGTAGCATCAACAATAACAACAACAACAAGACTCTAATAAAAAACAAGGCAAAGACCTATCAAGCAGCTATCGAAGATTGAATGCTCTTACAGCGCGGAGTATCTATAGAAGTTGTATGATCTGAGGAGTCCAGAGTTACATATAACAATAATCGATCAGCATTAGCTTTGCATACTGCTATTCGAAATATCGATGCATTCTATCTACAACAGTCGATAGAAGATGGCTCTAAATATATTCGATATATAAATCAGAACTTAGCTAATCTAATTTATCGATAGGTGCCATAAGAATCTAGCTAGGAACTAAATCGCAGTTAAATCTTAATGAATTTATGGCCAATCGTTAATCGATATTTTTCGATAATAAACATAAATATATTGATTTATATATATAATATAAGACTGGAATATTAAAAACAATTTATAGATATCGATAAGCGATAAACGTAACGTAACAGCTACTCAGAACTTATCACAAAAACAGTTCAATTGATTACTATATAATCGATAAACTTTAAATATTATATGTTGATAATAAGGGTAAGAACACAATAGATTTTAAATATATATAATGAGTATATAATACACAATATATATCCTGCTGGCAACAAAGAGTCTATCGATGAATAGTAATGGCAATAGCTGGCAAAAGACTATCGATTTCTCTGCAATCGATAAAATATATATTCTGCCAATGCCATAAAATAATAATAAAAAATAATAATGCAATACCTTCTCCTTCGCCCAATCAATATACCCCGTCGACAGGGCATCCACAAAAAAGGGCAATTTCTATGTCTATATCAAAGAACAAAAGTTTTTAGTCGGCGAACCCTTTTTAATGCCATCGCCGTTTGGTGCTTGTTTCTGACGCGTTGTCCCAAAAATCGGTTAACAACTTTGTTTACAAAACAATTCGAAACGAAGTCAAAAAGTGGAAAGTGGAAAGTGGAAAGCGGAAAGTGAAAAGTTGAGATCTTTTTTATGCGTGTTCATGAAGCGAAAAAGCGAGTGTATTGGTTTTGTGCAATATTCTCTCCCTCTGTCCGTTCATCTGACTGCATACCCTAGTCTGATATTGGATACGCCTTCGAGGACGTGCCAAGTACTAAACTTCTATATCTTTCACTGTTTCAGAGGTGAAGTCAACAAGTTTTCCAGTTGATTCACTGCTGACCTACACAACAGTTAGGTCTGTATCTTGCATGGTGCGAGTATAATGCAGTCGTGCACTCACACTACTTGCACTCGTGTTGCCAATTGCAAATTGCGCAATGCACTTAAATGAATCGATGATGAGCATTTCATTTAGTTGTAGGCAAAAGTTCATTAGTTCATACTTTTTATTTCTCTGGCAATTTGTAAATGGGATGAAGGCAAAGAACAAGTCAGCACAAATTTAATGAAATTTTCACACCATTTCCGGCGTGGACAAAGCCATATACAAACACACACACACACAGAGAGAGAGAGAGAGTCGCACACCAACTGCAACTGTGTAGCAGCGCTTCAAGTTATCCCGAGTGCTGGCTAAAAGTCCAAAGTCTAAAGTCTGCGCCTTTGGTTAGAGACGCAGAAAATGCGTCAGCAAAGTTTTTAATGTATTTTCGCCAAGTTTGCGCACACACACACACACACATAGAGCTATACGGCAGAAAATTCCTTCATTTGGCAATGACAAAAACAAAAAACAGAGAGGGAGAGGCAGAGTCAGCTGCAAACCCCCTAAAAAAAAAAAGAAAGACAGAAAGTAGAACAGCAGCAGAGTCGAGGCAAAAGTTTTGCTCTAGCACACAAAGTGTTAAATAATATAAAACTATGCTTGTGGTATTTATTTAAACCTAAAGACATTACGAAAATTATACCCCAAGCACAAAGTTTTCGCCAGTAGAGCTGCCCAGTCTGAACCGCCCTGCCCTGCCCTGCCCTGCCCTGCCCTGCCGGCTGCCAGTCCCAGAAGACAAGTCGCCGCGTAACACGGCATCCAGTTTTCGTTGTAGCCGCAGCAACCTGTGGCAAGCGTCCCTCAGCGACGGCGAATTGAACCAACAAACAAATATATATATATATATATATCTCGCTCTATATATGTATACACCTACATAAATATATATCTAGTTGAGCTGCTCGCTAAAAAGCTTTGCTGCAAACTTGTTAAACTTTTCACTTTTGCTCGGAAATTAAATATTTACGGATTTGGTTACAACATTTTGTATTCCGTGTTAACAAAACGTGACTGCAGCAGACAGCGAAGCTTAAGCACGTTAATATCAGCTGCAAATTAGTTATATTCTAAATGTTCTTTAATATAATTTAAATCAATTTCAATTTGCTTTCCATATGTGAGAAATTCTCAATAAATATATCAGTTAAATAATAATTGGCTTGATAACAGGTGAATCGTAGATATATCATATATCAGCATTCGATTGTAGATTGTTTTGATTTTATAGCTGCATATCTTGTCAATTACCTATATGCATATATTTTCTATATTTCTTTGCTCTTTCGCTCATTTACAACATTCAATTTTCTGCAATAGGCTGCATATTTCACTAGATTTACTGACAGCCTAAGCATGGCCAAAGGCTTCTAGACTTTTACCTAATGAATTAAGCCAAGAAATGTTTGAACAAGTGTTGTATACAGCTTAGTTTGGATTACTCACGACAGGCTAATAGCTGCTGCAAGGTTCTTGTCTAAATTGTAAAATTGAATAAAGGGGAAAAAGAGAGAGAGATGGAATGCTACGGACTATACTACTGCCTCTGCATTAGTTACTCAGGCAACTGACAAATAGTTACCTCAAGTTGAGTTACATTTCTGCGTTTACCTGTCTGAATTGCTGCTCAGCTTTTATAGGTGGCTGCAACTTGGTAATTGTATTCATAACATACGGTGACCAATACAATTATAATTAATTATAATTAAGCGTAATTTAGCAAATCAAACTCAAATTGTTGTACTTATCTAACCCAGTTAGATTACCTGCATGAAAGGAGCACAAGCAGAGGAGGCGTGGCAGGACAGGATGATCAGAATGACAAGCTGAGTCGATCTTGCCATGGTCATCTGCTCATCTGTCCTTCCGTCCGTCTGTCCATCTGATAGATGTCTATAAATATACATACATGTATTTATATATATATATGATCAGCATGATCTGTCATTGTCTGCTTTTTATATCATGTAAAATAAGTAAAAAAAGTAATAAATGTGTTATATATATATATATATATATATATATATATATGAAGTATATATGTATAGCATATATATATTTCCGATCGGAATGACAAGTTGTGTGTTTGTGCGTTCGCCTTTCGTGCTGCCTCCGATCGAATTGTGTAAATCAGTGTAAATTCTCACTCAGAAAATGATCAAGTGCTCTGCTGGCGTTGCCTAGTGTAAATTCTCACTCAGAAAGTGATCAAGTGCTCTGCTGGCGTTGCCTAGTGTAAATTCTCACTCAGAAAGTGCTCAAGTGCTCTGCTGGCGTTGCCTTCTGAGTGACTTTTGGGTATAAAAGGGCGCAGCAGCGGCTGTGGCGATCAGTCGAGTTCGGGACCTGGACTAGGTCAGTCGCAGTGCGGTGCAGTGCAAGTGGTGAATAAATTTAAGTTTTTTTTTGTAAAATTATTTAAATTTAAGTAATTTGTATTTGTTTAATAAATATTGTATTTGTTTAAATAAATATATTTGTTTAATAAATATTTTAATATATATTTAAGCTTTGATTGTTGTTGATTATTGTTTATTTGTTAAACAAATATTTAATATTTAATTGCTTAAATATAAATATATAATTTTTAGTATTGTAATTATTTATATGCACTAATTGTTATTTTAATAATGAAGTTCGTTAGCGATAATGATCATTCAGATTAATGATTATTTATATTCATGATCATTACCGGTAATTATCAATAACGATAATGATCATTAGCAATATGATTTTTTCATGATCTTTTTGTAAAGTTAATTAAGTTACGTTGCTCACTGATTTGTTCTCTTTTAAATTGTTAGTTACTAAACTTACTATTATTATATCATAAAATAAATAATATTTAAGAGCATTTTATTTTATTTGCCTCCTTGTAATGAAGTTAAGTTAATATTCCAAATTGTGCTAAGTATTTAGGGTAAGCAGAGTAGAATCTGTTCTCTTAATTTTAATTTTAAGAACATTACAAAAACATGTATTTATATTTATATTTAAAAAGTATTTGATAAGTAGAGTGTATAAATAAATTATAAATAAATCTGTTTAATGTATTAAATTACAATATTAATAACATTGACAAGTGTTCGCTAAATACTCTATTTGAGACAATTTACTTTCTTTAAAAGTATAAAAATGTCTATAATAAATTAAAAAAAAAAAAATACAAAATAATATAAAATAATATAAATTTAAAACAATAAATATATTATTTATTGTACCTCTATTAACTAATTACGCATATATAATTCTGATTATACCTATATTTAATGCCCTTCAAGAATTAGTTATATATTTGCTAGAGCTGATGCGAGTTGTGTAGGCGACGTTGGTTCGAATTGTGGTGTATTAATGTCGGTTGTTATTTCATTTATTTTATGCTATGTAAAACATTAAATACCTCAGATAGGACTGGCTTCAGGGTTTCACTAGACTGGAGCTTTCTTAATTGTTATTTTCTGTTTTTATGGAGTGAGCCCAACTTCTACTTGATCTTGTTTTAATAAGGTTATTCGTGCACTTCCTTGCTTTCATTCAGCTACTCCCATATATAGAAAATATAAATTGTTCAAATCTATTTCTAATCTCGCTTTGATGCACTTCCACTTCCACTTCCACTGCCTTCCACGACTTTATAGTTCGTAATTCTCTAGCAGCTCTATTTCTTTTTATAGATATTGCTCAACTTGGGCAATAACCAGTCGATTCCCTGCTGTTCTCTCTGTCTCTCTCTATCTCTCACTAGCTATCTACCTCTTTCTATCTCCATCTCTATTAAAAATCCTAACCTCGCACCGTAAACGGTTGTAAAAGGTTTAGTTTGAAGTCCATTGCGAAGCTTTGGCAAAGCTTTGCTTTTCCGTTTGTTCTTTATCAGCTTTATATTGTGTAGGCGTGTTTTATATATGTATTGCTATATATAGAAGTAAATATATATAGATATCGAATGCTCAATGCATTGGCCAGTGGCAATGCAGAATAGAATAGCAATTCGCAGTTGGTGTCGAGTCTATGATGGAAAGCATAAAAATTGGCGCATAAAACTTTTACAAGCAAATGAATTTTATTTTTACGTATTACGTGACCGTTGCCATTTGGCCAGCTTTTTTCATGGCTTTGCCGTTCGGCTTTGCTTGTGTGCGAATGAATTTATTAGACTCGCAAAAGACCCGGATCAAAAACCAGAGGCCAAAAGGATTGTTTATTTGCGCTTTGTGACGCCCGCATTTCGATAGTTTCGCACTCACTTGCCGCCTTTAGCGAATAGCTGACGACATAATATTTATGTAGTAATAACTGAAGAAGTTTTACAGTTATACGCATCTATTTATAGACATATATTTAATGCTTACTGTTGACAGTCGCAAATATTCAAAACTTTAATTGAGCGCGCAGCTTTCTGAATATACATTCTACTTGGCACTGCAAAACTTTTTGGCCGACGTAATTAAAATTGAGCATCTCGACAAGCTCAACAAAAACAACAACAACAGCAACAACAATGGCGCAGAAGAACAAAACTAAGGTCATTAAATAAATTGGAAACAATGTGCCAAAAGGGCACAAAGGTCGAGCACAACAAAGCCAGAAAAAATAAGAAAACCGAGCAGAAATCTCAGCAGCGAAACACAAAACCAGTTCTAATGGTTACCCCAAAGTGAGGGGCGCGGGCGGTAGCCCAGCGGCAAAGGGTCGAGCAAGGCAATCAAATGAAAATGTAATTCAAGCTCTAATAAAAATTGGCCAAATAGAGGCCAGCACAACAATGGTGGCACACGGATAGGCCACGCCTGCGTCTATATCTCTGCGTTAAAAGGCATTTTGAAACAATTCCGAGACACATTCGGACTGCAAAATGTCGCCAGCTTAAAGACTTTGCAATTGCCTGAGTAATTTATGTAGCTTCAGCTATAAAAGTGTAGCTTCTTTGAGCATCGATAAGAGCTGCTATTCATTCGCTTTTTAGACTGTCAACGTTGCGTATACGCAACCCTTTTCACATACACGTGAATATTACGTATACGTATGGCGGGACTAGTTTGACTTAATGCTTGTGTTTTTTTTTGTAATACTGCGAAGTGGGGTATATAAAGTAAAAACCTTTGCAGAGCATTGAAGAATATATATGATATTTTTGACTTTAAAAATTTGGCTTTTCTATAGAAGAATTCATTCGTTATTTTTATTTGTATCTTTGGATGCCTAGCCACATCTATCTCAACTGCTCTATATAAAAAGTTGTCAGTTTATAAAGATATTGTAAAGCAAAATTAGTTTTAATTAGCTTAACTCTACTAGATAGCTCTCTGAATTAGAACAACTCTTTTATATTCTTATATTATATAGTATATTATTTATAAGGAATAATAACCAAAAGGCTTAAGAGAGTTTTCTTATATATAACTCATAACATCTTCATCATAGTTTGCAGCATAGTGACCTCAAAGAAACTTAATTAAAAATTCAATTTCTCAACCTTTGCTACTCAACCTCTTAACTCATCTCCAAAGTCATATCAAGTTGGAGCAGTATATTAAGTAGGTTCTACAGCATAAATGGGTTCAATGCGATTATCCTAAAGACCCATATACTAAGAATTGTTTCAATAGAAAACACTCATCAAAGCTCTTTAAACAACTTACCTTTGTAGTTTCTTATTGTAGATATGAGTTTAGGTTTCTCCAATAGAAAACAAATGCCTTTAAGGCTCCACTCGTTGCCAACACATTAGCAATAATAAAAGTATAGCAAATTCAAATTCAACAAATTTGCTCTTAAAGGGCATTAAGTCTTCTTTCATTTAAAGTCAACTTCACTTAGCTTGCTCTTTGCTGGTATTTGCCGTTGATTAAATGCGGCAAAACAAAAGCAAAATGCTAAAGATTAACAAACAGCAGCAGCAGCAGCAAACCCCGAAAAGAAGTGCCAAAAGCAGCAGCTTCGCCTTCAACCCGTAAAAAAAAAAAACAAAGAATAAAAGTAGCAAAAAAGTAAACTTTGCGCTTTGTTGCTGTGGCAAGTGGCAAGTGTGGAAAGTGTGGCAAGTGTGGAAAGTGTGGCAACTGTGGCAGTGTGGCAGTGTGGCAATGGATACAAGAGCGCACACAAAGCGCTGTTAAACGCACTTGGGCGAAACTTTTAAGTGCGGAATTTGTAATTTTTAAAACTTGGCAGACGCCAAGTGAACAACAAGTCTTTATCTCTACCTGCTGCCATCTACTGCCTGCCTGCCTGCTGCTGTTTCTCATTTTTGTCGTTTCTCACTTTTCCGCTTCTGATTCTGTTACAGGTCTCGTGGATACGCAAACGTGATCTGCATATACTCACAGCAGGTGGCACTACCTACACCTCCGATCAGCGCTTTCAGGTGAGTCCTTTTGGTCCCAAGACTAGATAATTTCTTCATCGAATTTAATGTTTAGGTACTGCGGCCCGACAACTCAGCCAATTGGACGCTGCAAATCAAGTATCCGCAGCCGCGCGATTCGGGCGTCTACGAGTGCCAAATCAACACCGAGCCCAAAATGTCCCTCTCCTATACCTTCAACGTTGTGGGTGAGTATGAAAAAAGAGGCGCGTTCTGGGCTAAGAGCAACTGCGCAGGCTAATACTCCAGCTGCAATTCGATAGCTTAACCAGGTGACAGCCAGTTGAAGGCAGTTCACAGGCAATTTCAACTTTGAAATACCCCAAACTGAGCAGAAAACTTTAAGCTGAAGGAGGCATAGTTTAAGTGCGATATAGAAGACGTGATTAATGCAGCTTAAAGAAATTTTTGTTATGAACAGAATAAGAGTGTGGGAGTTGTTTGAGTTAAATATATAGCAAAGCGCAGATATGTCTATTATAAGATGTTTATTTTAGAGCTAGGCGAATTTAAATCGCATTAAAGTGAAGAGATATATTTTTCATATCAATGAAATAGGCTTTGCAGAATAGAAATATTTATGACATTAATGCTTAATGCTTAAAAAGCAAAGGTTCTATTTTATAATTCCACAAACATTTCCTGAATCTTAGCTATTTATATTACTGTGCTGGAATAAAAATCCAATGGATTTCTTTATCATGTAAGAACTAGTTTTTTGTAAGTGTCTCATTGGTTGCCTGCTGGTAATATAATATAGAAATTGTGTAGCCTTGCACAATATTCCATTTGCTCAATTCAACTTTCGACTCTTACAAGAGCACTTAACTAACTAAAACATATATTAGTATCAATAAACCCGCTCTACACCCATTGCAACAACAGGGCAATAGCTAATTAATTTACCAGATTTATAACGCCCAGGCGAGCATGCTTAGGCTCTGCTGGCGTACCTTTAGTAAGCCCACAAATTTGTACACTCTGCGCACAGATCGGGCCTTAAATATTATGTGAACGAGCTACGCAAATGAGCGAAATTTCGTGTGACCCAAGAGCCATGAGCCACGACCCAAGACCGGAAATATCGACATGTTGTAAATGCGTAGCTGGCTGCTAATAGCCAATGCATAGAGCACACATGAAACTGTACCCTTTTTGCCTTGGCAATTATCATAACTCTCTGGGCCCTAAGGTCAACCACATTCAAATAGCCAAATTCACTTCAGCTAACAGCATTTGGCTGCCCTCTAACCAAAAAATTCAAAAGCCTAGCTCACATTTTACATTTCACATTTAACATTTTGGAAGGCTGTTGCAAAAATTGGTCACAAAACCACTGAAGTGCTTACTTTTATGAGACACTGTATGTGTGTGTGTGTGTGTTGCTGTGTGTGTTGTGACAAGAGTTTCTGAGTTTGTGCCGGCTGCCTAAGTCGCATGTTTGCCAGCTGCATGCAGCTTTCATGAGCTTAAGGAAGTCATACAATATGCATGTTATTTACACATGTGTGCGGCTGCCTATGTGTGTGTGTGTGTGTGTGTGTGAGGGCGAGTGTTCGTGTGTGTGCGGAAGTATGTGCTGTAGCTCACTGTGCCAGGCAGTCAGCCGAAGTGCCTTGTATGATTATAAAATAGCAAATTCGATTATGCGCAAATTGCCTTGCTGTGTGCCTGTTGGGCTGCGTATACCCTGTAATTTTGAAACGGGAATATATAATACGTAAAGTAACGTATAAGAAGCTCCAGCTATAAGAGTTTATATGCTTTAGTCCATATAGTCTATATAGTTTTTTATTGTTCCTTATGCATGAAGTTTATTATTATTCCTTTTTCTGGTTAGAGCTAGAGTCATAAGAGCTTATGTACCATAGCCTATTGGAAGACTTGAAGTCTACAGGCTACAGGGTACCTCTTAGTCCAACACTCTCGCATATTTGCCTAAAAGATTGCAGCTGAACACGGAGTTAAAATTTAGATGTATATTTGCCGCCTGTGCACGCATGAGATTGCTTTTGTTTTGCTTGGCAACCAAACGCCTCTAATTAGTTTAACTTAACGCCCGAAAAGGCGTTGGCTATACACACAGATACAGCCACACCCACCCCCGTGTTACCTTCAGCTGTAGTCAGCAATTTTTGAAACTAATTGAAAAATGTTCGCTCATATCTCTAGGTACGCAGCAGAAGAACTGCTTACTAATATATATAACTTTTTATCTGTGGCCTATAACTTAGGGGAGGAGCATTGGCAGGGGAGGGCTGAAGCGGGTGCAGTTTGTTGGGCTGCTTATGAATTTTTCGTTCAGTGCATTTTTATCGTATATCGCATTAGCAATGCATTTTTGTTAAAACTTTTTGGTGCGGAAGAATGCGTTCAATGAGATTATTTGATTTCTGAACTATGTGTATATATACACAAGCACATGTATACATATATGTATATGTGTGTATGTGTGTGTGTGTGTAGGTAGTTGTTGCTGTTAGAGCAAACTCATCTGGGCCTGGCCACATGGCCAAACGACTTTGTTTCAACATAAATGCTTTGGTCAGCTTGAATGTTATGAATGTTTTAGTACTCACGCTCACACTCACACTCGCGCACTCACACACACATACTAGAAAAGCAAGTTAACACGTATATTTGTGGGTGAAGAGGACAACAACTTGACAGACTGACATAGCAACCGTCAAGTCAGACAAACACATCTCAACACAATGGTCATAAATATTACATTTGCGGAAATGCAAATGACTGCCAAACGTCCTGCATAAGCCACGCCCGCACTAGTGCCGCCCACTATTTCCCTACCCACTCCCCAACCAAAAAAAGAATAAAAATAGAAATATAAAAAAGCAAAAAAAGCGAAACCAAAAACAAACTCCACGCATGCCTTAGTAGAACTCATGTTCATACTCATTTGAATGGCCAAAAAGAAAATGTGCATATAAAATATTCGACATGCCACTCACGTGGAAAGCTGGAAGCCAAAATGCTGTCACAGTGGTGCAAGAGTGATTTATGTGTGGCCCAAAAGCCAGCGTGAAGCTGCAAGCAAAGAAAACCTGAAAATGAAAACACAAAATTTCAAAATCTTTAAGAAAAATTTAATAATTGCTAAAAAGAGAAAAATAAGTAATATCAAATAAATATATATCACAAAAATATAGTTCAAATACTAAAAAATAAATAAATTATATTAAATATTTTACATCACATATATCTATATTAAATATAAAGTAATTTAATATATAATAAAAAAAAGAAAATGTAAACAACTTAAAATTTTAATAAAATAAAGGAAAATATAAGACTAGCTCTTGGTAAATATTTAAATAAAATTAATTAATATTAATCATTTGCTTTTGGCTTTTAAGGCAATTGACGCATATTTGCCTCACTGTGCAGCAGCTATTGTCGCACAGTGTACGTTTAAGCAACCAGCCTAACAAATTTAAATGCTAGTATTGAGAAAGCAGTACAGGTTAAACTAGGTATAAATTTAGTTTCAAATTTAAAAGTTCTCCAAGTGAGTTAGCTAGCTAGTTGGAGTGTAAAGAGTCAAAGAAGTTTTGACTTTTTATGATGGGACTAAAGCCCCTTATGTGTTATGCTTAGAATTTAAGCTACTGCACACAAAATTAAAATAATTTAATATATTTTAAAATAATAATATTATAATTTATTTGGATAATATTTAAATATATGGTTTTGGCAGATGTAGATGCATTGAACTCGCAAAAGACTAGCTATGTCAAATCAATTTTAAATATTTATTGTTCACAAAAATAGTAGTTCTTTGAAAGCTTTAAGCTTAGCGCTCAGCTTAGTGCTCAGTGCAATGACAAACTGTGACGTAAGCTGATAATAGATCCGTCAGTATATAAATTATATATCTACGATCATTTTTCTAGCCTTTCTTCCACTGTAGCTGAGCTGCTGCCATTGTCGTTGCATGCATCTGATGTCAGTCGGTTTTATTATGCGCTTATGCAAATAAAAATTTCGCACTAAAAATTCCATAAATTTGTTTTTCATACGCCGCCTCTCGCCCTTGCATAGCCGCGACCGCCGCCGCCACGCGCTCTTTCTATCTCTAGCGAAAATTCCATTACAGCTAAGAGAAAAGGAAGAAGAAGGAAACTTGGACGCAGCGCCATAAACATCAGTCAAGATACTCGAACCGCTGCTGTTGCAATACATTAGACATTTTAATGCAGAAGCAGGCGCTTCAATTGCTTAAATTACCAAGTTTATTGCCAAGTCTCGACAAGGTGTCAAACTATGCAGGAAGTAAAGTCGACTCCCTAAAAAAGGCGACGTTGTGTCGCCTTCGTAGATTTTAATTTGGAATTTAAGGGCAAATTACCAAGCTGCCTCCTGATAAAGAAGCCAAATTGTAAATTGTAAATGAAATTATGTACTTTGTGTGTGCGTCAAAACACAACCAGCACAAGCACAACAAAAAAGGCAAAAGGTGTTGTTGATGCCGCTAAAAAATTTGTTTACCAGCGCGCAAGTAATCAAGCGTAACTATACACAGCAGAAAAAAGAAAAAAAAGAATGAAAGTAGGAAGTGAGTGAGTGAGCGCTGAGCACGAAATACAGACTGAATATCTTAAGCAAGTTAGAATGTTGCAGAACGGCTATGACTGACTGCAGCATGCGCGTCCAAGGGCATGCAAAATAAGTTGATTTGGGCAGAAATAAATAAAGTTAAAAAATTAAATTAAAATAAATTGTCAAGAGCACAAAAAGATGTTGATGTTGATAGATCAAATACTGATTAGGTTACTATATGCCATCATAGGTCTAAATGAGTAAAAGAAGGGTCTTAGAGTTCTTAAACTAAACAAGCTGCAAAGCTTGTTAATTGTAGCTTCACTGAGGCACAAAAAGGAGTTCGATTGTGGATGAAATTAAAGGCTTAAATAATATTGTTGATTGCAGCTCTAAGACTGTGGTAAATAGACTTTTCACACGATTTACTACTTCTTCTATATATAACATATTTATAACATATTTAGTCGATTCATTGAAAAGATCAACAGTAATACAATTGACTTCTTTGAGAACTCTTTCTGCCAAGCTGCAGTAGATATAGCTGTGCTTAGAGGAGTTCAACATGAAATCCCTATCCAAAGTTGGGATATAGCCATATCCCCAGTTGTCATGCTCAAATAGCTAAATA